GTGAAACAAGAACATGATAATAAAGAGATAAATGAACTCAGGACAAAAATAGACAACATTAAAGAGGAAAGACCAGGATATGGAAAACCTCAGAAAAAAGAAGAAACAGAATTGCAAAACAAAAGGAAGGCCAATCCAGCAGAACAGAACAAACAGAAGACAGAATCTCGAACTCGAAGATGAAATGGTAATTAAAGGAAAAACCAAAGAACTATTAGTTAAACAACTCAAGACCTATGAAAGGAAAATGCAAGAACTCACCGACTCCATCAAAAGACCAAACCTGAGAATCATGGGCATTGAAGAAGGAGAAGAGGTGCAAGCAAAGGGAATGCGAAATATATTCAACAAAATAATAACAGAAAATTTCCCAAATCTAGAGAAAACCATTCCCATATAGATGCAAGAGGCCTCCAGAACACCACACAGACCAGATCAAAATAGAACTACCCCACGACGTATCATCATTAAAACAACAAGTACAGAAACTAGGGAAAGAATATTGAAGGCTGTAAGAGAGAAAAAACAAATAACATACAAAGGTAAACCCATCAAAATCACAGCAGACTTCTCAACAGAAACATTACAAGCAAGAAGAGCTTGGGGAGAGATCTTCTGGACAATGAATGAAAATAACTTCAACCCCAGGATTACTCTGCCCAGCAAAACTATCATTCAAAATAGATGGACCACAAAGCCATTGCTACAAAAGATTCTTCAAGGGATTCTGCACACAGAAAGTGAAACCCACCATAACCTTGAAAGGGCAGACAGCACCAAACTACAGGAAAAGAAAAAGCAAGAAAGTAGAGAGTAACCTCAACTTAGGTACACACAATCAAACCTTCAAACAACTAAGACAACTAAATGACAGGAATCACCACATACCTATCAGTACTAACACTTAATGTTGATGGACTTAATTCATCCATCAAAAGGCACCATTTGATGAAATGCATGAAAAAGGAAGATCCAACAATTTATTACTTACAGGAGACCCATCTCACTGACAGAAATAAGCATAGGGTTAGGATGAAAGGCTGGAAGAAGATTTACCAAGCCAATGGCCCCTGAAAACAGGCAGGAGTAGCAATACTTATCTCTGACAAAGTAGACTTCAAACCTACATTGATCAAATGAGATAAAGAAGGACATTCCATACTAATAAAAGGGGAAATAGACCAAAAGGAAATAACAATTATCAACCTATATGCACCCAATGTCAATGCACCCAATTTCATCAAACATACCCTGAAGACCTAAAAGCATATATTAACTCCAACACAGTGGTTGTGGGAGACTTTAACACCCCATTATCATCAATAGATAGGTCATCCAAACAAAAAATCAATAAAGAAATCCTAGATCTAAAATATACAATAGATCAAATGGACCTATTGATGTCTACAGAACATTTCATCCAACTTCTACACAATATACATTCTTCTCAGCAGCCCATGGAACCTTCTCCAAAATAGATCATATCCTAGGGCACAAAGCAAGCCTCAGCAAATATAAGAAAATAGAAATTATACCATGCATACTATCTGATCACAATGCAATAAAACTAGAACTCAACAACAAAAGTAAAGACAAAAAAATGCAAACAGCTGGAAACTGAATAACTCATTGCTTAATGAACAATGGGTCATTGATGAAATAAAAGAGGAAATTAAAAAGTTCCTGGAAGTCAATGAAAATGAAAACACAACCTACCAGAACCTATGGGACACAGCAAAGGCAGTCCTGAGAGGAAAGTTTATAGCCATGAGTGCATATATTAAAAAGACTGAAAGATCCCAAATCAATGACCTAATGATACATCTCAAACTCCTAGAAAAACAAGAACAAGCAAATCCCAAAACAAATAGGAGAGAAATAATAAAAATAAGAGCTGAAATCAATGAAATAGAAACCAAAAAAACCATACAAAGAATTAATGAAACAAAAAGTTGGTTCTTTGAAAAAATAAACAAGATCGACAGACCTTGGCAAACCTGACTAAAATGAGGAGAGAAAAAACCCAAATTAGTAGAATCAGGAATGCAAAAGGGGAGATAACAACAAACACCATGGAAGTCCAGGAAATCATCAGAGACTACTTTGAGAACCTATATTCAAATAAATTTGAAAATCTTAAAGAAATGGACAGATTTCTAGATACATATGATCATCCAAAACTGAACCAAGAGGAAATTAATCACTTGAATAGATCTATAACACAAAATGAAATTGAAGCAGCAATCATGAGTCTCCCCAAAAGAAAAGTCCAGGACCTGATGGATTCTCTGCTGAATTCTATCAGACCTTTAAAGAAGAACTGATACCAACCCTCCTTAAACTGTTCCATGAAATAGAAAGGGAAGGAAAACTGCCTAACACATTTTATGAAGCCAGTATTACACTTATCCCAAAACCAGGCAAAGACACCTCCAAAAAGGAGAACTATAGGCCAATCTCCTTAATGAACATTGATGCAAAAATCCTCAACAAAATAATGGCAAACCGAATTCAACAACACATCAAAAAGATTATTCACCACGACCAAGTAGGCTTCATCCCAGGATGCAGGGTGGTTCAACATGAAAATCAATAAACGTAATAAACCACATTAACAGAAGCAAAGACAAAAACCACTTGATCATCTCAATAGATGCAGAAAAAGCCTTTGATAAGATCCAACACATTTCATGATAAAAGCTCTAAGAAAACTAGGAATAGAAGGAAAGTACCTCAACATTATAAAAGCTATATATGACAAACCTACAGCCAGCATTATACTTAAGAGAAAAACTGAAACCATTCCTCTAAAATCAGGAACCAGACAAGGATGCCCACTATCTCCACTCCTATTCAACATAGTACTGGAATTCCTAGCCAGAGCAATTAGGCAAGAAGAAGGAATAAAAGGAATACAAATAGGTAAAGAAACTGTCAAAATATCCCTATTTGCAGATGACATGATCCTATACCTTAAAGACCCAAAAAACTCTACTCAAAGCTCTAGACACCATCAATAGCTATAGCAAGGTAGCAGGATATAAAATCAACATAGAAAAATCATTAGCATTTCTATACACTAATAATGAACAAACTGAAAAGAATATATGAAAACAATTCCATTTACAATAGCCTCAAAAAAAATCAAATACCTAGGTGTAAACCTAACAAAAGATGTGAAGACCTCTACAAGGAAAACTATAAACTTCTGAAGAAAGAGATTGAGGAAGACTATAGAAAGTGGAGAGATCTCCCATGCTCATGGATTGGTAGAATCAACATAGTAAAAATGTCTATACTCCCAAAAGTAATCTACATGTTTAATGCAATTCCCATCAAAATTCCAATGACATTCATTAAAGAGATTGAAAAATCTACTGAAATTTATATGGAAACACAAGAGGCCACGAATAGCCAAGGCAATACTCAGTCAAAAGAACAATGCTGGAGGTATCACAATACCTGACTTCAAACTATATTACAAAGCAATAACAATAAAAACAGCATGGTACTGGCACAAAAACAGACATGAAGACCAGTGGAACAGAATAGAGGACCCAGATATGAAGCCACACAACTATAACCAACTTGTCTTTGACAAAGGAGCTAAAAATATACGATGGAGAAAAGCAGCCTCTTCAACAAAAACTGCTGGGAAAACTGGTTAGCAGTCTGCAAAAAACTGAAACTAGATCCATGTATATCACCCTATACCAAATTAACTCAAAATGGATCAAGGATCTTAATATCAGACCCAAACTCTAAAGTTGATACAGGAAAGAGTAGGAAATACTCTGGAATTAGTAGGTATAGGTAAGAACTTTCTCAATGAACCCCAGCAGCACAGCAACTAAGAGATAGCATAGATAAATGGGACTCATAAAACTAAAAAGCTTCTGTCATCAAAAGAAATGGTCTCTAAACTGAAGAGAACACCCACAGAGTGGGAGAAAATATTTGCCAGCTACACATCAGACAAAGGACTGATAACCAGAATATATAGGGAACTTAAAAAACTAAATTCTCCCAAAACTAATGAACCAATAAAGAAATGGGCAAGTGAACTAAACAGAACTTTCTCAAAAGAAGAAATTCAAATGGCCAAAAAACACATGAAAAAATGCTCACCATCTCTAGCAATAAAGGAAATGCAAATTAAAACCACACTAAGATTCCACCTCACCCCTGTTAGAATAGCCATCATTAGCAACACCACAACAACAGGTGTTGGCGAGGATGGGGAAAAAGGAACCCTCTTACACTGTTGGTGGGAATGTAAACTAGTACAACCACTCTGGAAAAAAATTTGGAGGCTACTTAAAAAGCTAAACATTGATCTACCATTGATCCAGCAATACCACTCTTGGGGATATACCCAAAAGACTGTGACACAGGTTACTCCAGAGGCACCTGCACACCCATGTTTATTGCAGCACTATTCACAATAGCCAAGTTATGGAAACAGCCAAGATGCCCCACTACTGACGAATGGATTAAGAAAATGTGGTATCTATACACAATGGAATTTTATGCAGCCATGAAGAAGAACGAAATGTTATCATTCGCTGGTAAATGGATGGAATTGGAGAACATCATTCTGAGTGAGGTTAGCCTGGCCCAAAAGACCAAAAATCGTATGTTCTCCCTCATATGCGGACATTAGATCAAGGGCAAACACAACAAGGGATTGGACTTTGACACATGATAAAAGCGAGAGCACACAAGGGAGGTGAGGATAGGTAAGACACCTAAAAAACTAGATAGTATTTGTTTCTCTCAATGCAGAGAAACTAAGCAGATACCTTAAAAGCAACTGAGGCCAACAGGAGAAGGGGACCAGGAACTAGAGAAAAGGTTAGATCAAGAAGAATTAACATAGAAGGTAACACACATGCACAGGAAATCAATGTGAGTCAACTCCCTGTATAGCTCTCCTCATCTCAACTAACAAAAACCCTTGTTCCTTCCTATTATTGCTTATACTCTCTCCTCAACAAAATTATAGATAAGGGCAAAATAGTTTCTGCCGGTAGAGGGGGTGGGGGGAGAGGGAGGGGGGAGTGGGGGAGGGAGGGAGGGGTGGGGGAAGGGGGGAGAAATGACCCAAACATTGTATGCACATATGAATAAAAAAAAAAAGTTCAACCAGGATACAACAGAGACAATTGCACACTAATGTTTATTGATCACTGTTCCCATTAGCTAAGCTAAACACCCAGATGCCCTACAACTGATGAATGGATCAAGAAAATGTGGTCTATACATACAATGAAATTTTATTCAGCCAGAAGGAAAAATGAAACTATCTGGTTTGAAGGTAAATGGATAGAATTTAGAGGACATCATATTACGTAAAGTAAGCGAGGTTCAGAAAGACAAAGGCTGCATGTTTTTTCTCATTTGTGGAAGAAAGGTCCAAAAGATAAACATATACACAAAAGCAAACATGATCATATACATATCTACATGTAGACCATGTTTGTATTAGTGGAACTATACCATCGAACTTGGGGGAAGAGGGAAAGGAAAAGAGAATGATAGTTAACAATATCAAAGTGCACTGTATCTGTGAAAGGAAATTTGGAATGCTGTCGAAAAATGGGGGTTGGGAAGAAGTAAGGCAGAGTAATAGAAGGGGCTGAACTTACCAAAGTAAAGCATATTCACAACTGTGATGCAATGAGAAATCCCTTTAAACAATGACTTTAGAATTAATAATGAAAGACAGGAATGTAAAATAGGTACAGTGAGTGGGGTACTTCTGGGAGGGTGAAAGGAGCAGATGAAGGTGAAGGAATATGATTGATGGGCTTCATATACATTTAAGAAACAGAACAATGAAACCTAATGTAATTGCTTTAACTGGGATGGGGAGAGGATGACATGGGGGATTTGAGGGAGTGATCTAACCAATGTACAATGTAAGGCTATTCAGAATTGTACAATGAATATATGCTAATAAAAATGGAAAATAAATAAATAAAACTCCAATTACAAATGAAGTTTAATAGAAAGTGGAAGGGCATATAGATTTTTCAGGGGAAGAGAATGTCTATCCTCAGAGATAACCTACATCTGAACTTTCCTTGAACTAGCAGATCAAAGAGAGACATGTTAATGTCTCAGAAGACACAATGGTAAGTGACTACTCTTAATGCAAACTCAAAGTATCAATTATTATTCTTGTATTTTCTGAACTTAATTTTATAAACACCATATAAGTTTTCTACCATGTGCCAACAGTTTTATTTTATTTATTGCTTTACAAACAATACAAGCATCACCAACATTTATTAATCAAAACCACACTAAGATTCCAGGTCACACCTGTTAGAATTGCTACCATCAAGAACATCACCAACAACAAATGTTAGCAAGAATGTGGGGAAAAAAAGGAACCCTCATACACTGCTGGTGGGAATGTAAGGTAGTACAATCACTTTGGAAAATATGGAGGTGCCTTAAAAATGTAAAACTGGATCTCCCATATGATCCAGCAATACCACTCTTAGGGATATACCCAAAGGAATGTGACTCAGGATTAAGATATGGATTAAGAAAATGCGGTATTTATATACAATGGAATTTTATTTGGCCACAAAGAAGAATGAAATTTTGTCATTCGTAAGTAAATGGATGGAACTGGAGAACATCATCTTAAGCAAAGTTAAGCTCAGAAAGCCAAAAATCACATTCTCCCTTATGTGCAGATCATAGACCTGAAACAAATGCTGTAATATTATTGGACATGGTCACACACTAAGGGGAGAATGTGCATGGGAAGAATAGGAAAAGGGAAGGAAACCTAAAACTTGAATATGGTTGATGTGCTCACTGTATAGGAGAAAGCAGGGGTGAGCGGTGGGGGGTGGGGGTGTGGTCCAAATAATGTATACACATGTAAGTAAATGTAAAAATGATAAAATAAAAAATTAAATAAAGGGGACAATACATCAAAAAAAGTTACTAATAGTGAGGTGCTAAGCTACTTTGTATTTGATAATTCATTGAGCACTGATGATTCCACATGTATGTAAAATTATCACTATTTTATCCTATTTCATTGATAATGAAACTGAGGGTAATAAAGATTAAACATCCTATATAAATCATTTTCTAGTTGCTTTTCCATTTTATTTAATTTTATTTCTTTTTTTGGCACTCAGGGCCTCATGCTTGCTAGGGATATGCTCTTACTGCTTGAGCCACTTGGCCAGTCCCTGTTTTTCCACTTTTAACAGTAAAACAAAGATGACCCCCTCACAGGGGTCACAACCACAGCTAAATTGATTTTTGGAATCTTACATGCGTAAGTCAACTGCAAATTCTCTGAATTTGTGATATTTTACAAGTAACCTAATGATTTACACAGAAAGTATCTAATAAAGTTTATGAATATCATATAGTTTGATTATACATCCTATTTTAAGATTAACATTTTAGATTTAATTATCAAACACCCTGAAAGTAAAGAAAACATAAGGACCCTGCTACTGAGTTTTAGAAATATACATTTTCAATTTATTATGTAAGTTACAAATATAGACTAAGCTATATTTTCTAAGATATTAATACTTCTAGGTTCATGTAAGTTCATTAAGTGGAAAGTATTATGTGAGTCTGACATAGAAAATATAGTCTAAGAGCATACAAAAGACTCTAAAGAATGAAAAGGAAAGTTGCTTAGACTGACAGCCTAGTAAAGGAGACAAGAAACAAGTCTGTCTTAGAATATGTAGTGTTTCAATGTACAGGCATAATTTCTATATGCAATACCATAATGTTTTTCTTCTGTGAGACCCTTAGAAAGTTTGTAGGTATACAAAATTGCTTCTTTGTTTCTTGAGGTATTCTTTACATGCTGAACTTCAAAATGCATGTTTTCTACATTAGGATAGAGGACATCTATATGGCATAGTTCCAGGAAATGTGTAGCAAACAGTGTAAATGCCTAGAACATATAACAGTAAATATTAGTGCTCTTTAAATAACTAGAAAAATCTATTTAAGTACTTAAACATAAAACTTGAGTTTAATTTCCTAACAAGCTTGACAGAGATGTCAGAATGAACTAATATCATGAAGACTAACACGATCAGTCCACTTTCAAGTATTTTCAAATTTTACATTCAATGAAGGAAAATCATTATTATGCTTACACATATATACAAATGTTACATTATAGGAAAAGAACAAATACAAAATAAAATCATAAGAAATATATATAAGGATATCTAAAAATATGAAGTTAAAGCTATTAACTGAGATAACCATTTATTAGGAAGGTACACACACAAAATTCTAATAATTCCCTCAACTTTTTAAAATCCTCAATTTGGGGCTGGTGGAGTGGTTTAAGTGGTAAAGCACCTGCCTAGCAAGCATGAAGCCCTGAATTCAAATCCCAGTACCAAAAAAACTCCTCAATTTGAATGTAGCTTCTTCCTGTAAGCAGTATTTGAAAAGTGGAATCAATGGATTGTCTTAGATATTTGAAGTTTCCAAACATTTGTTTTGTTTCGTTTTTTGTGGTGCTGGATGAAATTTCCAGGATGAAATTCCCAAAGTTTTTAGTTTTATTAAAGCAAATAGATATCTGAATAACTGGTTATGTGTTAAGACATTCCTGGTGAAAACTAAATAGATGACCAGTGTAAAATAAATAACAACATAGTAAAAAGAAGATATTTGGCTGGCAATATAGCTCGACCATGCAAGACTGGTAGCAGGAGGAGTAAAGGTTTTATATGTAACAGAAAAATGAAAATTCTCAACTACCTACTCGTTATAATTTGGATATGGTTTGAGAGTGTCTTCCATGGCTTAACTACTGGAAGCTTGGTCCTTAGTGGGGAGGGTATAATGGGAAGTAATTAGATTGTTGGAAGCACTGCTCTTGCAAGGAATTAATGCTGGTCTTGAAGAGTTCTCATGACAGTGAGGTGACACAAACAACCAAGACTACTGACTGTTTGGCTTTTGGATTACACTACTTAGAAGCTACAGAACATATTCAATAACAATAACATCCCTATCAAGGGTTAGGGATGTAGCTCAGTGGTACAGTGCTTGCTTACAATGTGCAAGGTTCTGGGTTTAAAAAGTATCAAATCAATACATTATAGTAACCTTGTAAAGTCTATTTCAGGTTAATTCAATTTAACAAATAAACATTCAGGCCTTATGTATTGCAAACATTATGCTAGGCACCAAGCATAGCAGAAATACAATAACTAACTTTAAGCTCCTTAAAAATCAGTAGGAATATATGCTTACTAAATTATCTATACTAGAAAAAGATATTCAAAAGGATCACTAAGAAAACTATTCTTACCTCTTGTATAATACTGAAATCTATACTGTATTAGAGTTCTCAAGAGACAGAGCAATAGGGTGGGTGGGTGGGTGGGTGGGTGGGTGTGGGTGTGTGTGTGTGTGTGTGTGTGTGTGTGTGTGTGTGTGTGTGTAACAAACTAATTATAAAGACTTGGCCCATAATCATGGAATCAAACAAGTTCCAAAACCTACAGTTGGCAAGCTGAAGATCCAGGAAAGCCAATGATGTAATACTACTTTGAATGACTGTAGTCTTCAAATCCAGAAAGAGCAGATCTTTGTGTCTAAAGGCAGGAAAGAGCCCATCTTCTACATTAAAGGTAGACAGGACATTCTTCTGACTTCTGAGATGGTCAGCCTTTTTGTTCTATTCAGGCTGTCAATGTATTGGATTGGGCCCAGAAGGGAGAGACATCTGCTTTACTCAGGCTATAATTCAAATGTTAATTTTCATGATGTAGACTAAAATAAAGCTTGACCAAATATCCTACCACTTTGTGGCTCGTCAAATTGATGCATAAAATCAACAGCTATAGATACGAATTAGTTTTTAGTTTTAAGTAATACATTCATCTTACTTATATGAGAAATTCTGATAGACTGACATATGCAGAATCATAAAAATCCTTTCTCTAATTTTTTTCCTCATTCCACATAATAAATCATTAGGGACTCTCAGTTAAGGTAAACAACTTTATCTTAGAGATACTTTAAAGAATTTTAAAAATGAAAAGGTATTTCCAAGTTTCTCATATTTGCATTATTATTTTAAACACATAGTTGATTTGTGAAATACTTTTTCTTCAAAGGACGTTTTAGCTAGCTAGGTAAAATAGGTTTTTCTGTGAAGTTATTTCAGATGCTTAGTGCTTCATTTCATGTTGTGACATCATAGACAACATTATTACAGGTGGAAATGATTGACTATTAAAATGTCATAGTACTTTTTCAGCCTGACTAAATTAAAGGCAAATGACTAACTCTTATATTAGTTGTATTTTTTTTATTTTTCTCTTTTCATTGTCTATACCATGGTTATCATACTAATCATTCCCACTTCCATCAGAAATAAAGCCAAAAAAGCTATAGTATGAAATTTTCTACCTAAAATTGTTTAAAAAGTTATTTGTGGGTGCTTGTTAGATCCAATTATGATAAAGATGTAAAATTTAATGCACTTAAAATAAGTAGGGAAATATACCTTTAGGTTTAGCAGATATTCACAAACAGCATAACAAATGCCAATACCTTCTTCTGTATTAGTACCTCTGCCAAGTTCATCAATTAATATGAGTGACTTGTCATTAGCATTATGTAGAATATATGCTACCTGAAAAATGTAATTTTAAATTATGCATTATAACCAAACATCTGTCACTATCACAGAAAAATGAGCTTATCTGAAATGTATTTTAATAGAGAAATCCTACTGACAAAAAATAACACATGGCTTTTCTTTCTAAAAATGGCATGACTAATAATTCCAATAAAATGGTTGGTGTATATATAAATAGACATAGGCATACACATATGAGACAATACAATAAATACCCATTACCTTAAAAAATGATGCTTTATGGTAAAGCACATTCTTTGCAAGCAAAAAGTCTGAGTTCAACCCCCCCCACCAAAAAAAACAAAAACCAAAAATGATGCATTAGATAGTGAAATAAAGCAGAGAATTAAACACTTAAATAAAGCTCAAAGATGGTCACTTTCTTCTCCACAAATGACTTATTGTCATAAAATACTCAAAACCATCTCACACATTTATTTTACTGTCACTCTATGTTCACTAAAGAAGGAACAAACATTTTAGGAAAAAGTATCTAAGTCTTAATTCTTGTTTAAAAAATAAATTTAAATCCTTGACCAATAAACACCAACACTTATGTTCTTTTCCTCCTAAAGAATAAGATAGACTCTCACCTGTATTTTATGATGACACAATAGTAACTTTCGTGAGCATTTTACCTTTCTATGGGACTAAGGTTCTTGAAGGATAGGACCATTTAAAGATATACTCATTACTATCTTCCCCACAGACATTCAATATATAATAAATAATTACGTAAATTGTGGAGCAAATGATGACTTTATTCACCCTCTATTATATGCAGAAAATTATCTAACTCTACATTTACCCAATAATTCTTACCTAATGCAGCTATTCCAAAAAACACACTTAATTTCTTCAGCCCTCAAACATACTTGATATATGCTCAGATCAGCAACAGGGAAGGATGCATACTTTGGTACAGGAAGTGAAAGTTCTCCCTTTCTACCAGGCAAAGATAAGGGTGATTTTTAAAAGCCTCTAACACAGTGATATTTTATTTTAAAATCTAGCCTAAGGGGAACAATAGATTCTATGCAAAATGGTACTGAACATTGTTTTCTAAAGTCTTTTACATATTCCATCTAAAAACATGTAAGTCCATTTTTATTATCCAATAATATTAGCTTTTTCTTTTAAAACTGCATTTTTCTATGAAATATTGACTCTCATCTCCACCTAACACAGAAATTAGGAAGTTGTCTTTGACTGCCCTCTGGCTCTCAGAAAGGAGTATAAGCACATCTACAAGTTTTAGTAGAAGGCTATTTCCTAACATGATAATTGGTCATTAGTTGGAAAAGTGAATATTTCTAACATGAGAAAAGTTTTGTTTGGGTACCTCTTTCATTTCCTTCATAAATGTTGATGAATTTGTTTCAATGTCGTCATCAGTACTGATTCTTGTAAAGATCTGTTCAGCGATTCTAAAGGAAGAATATTCTGCAGGAACATACGATCCTGTAAAAATACAAAGCCAAAGTAAATGGAAATACTTTTATAAAATAAAAGGACTAACAGCATTTTGCATTTCTCAGCACATTTACTAAGATTATGTGGTGGGAAAAGCAAGATACTGAATTAACGAACACGGCCACAGCTCTATCACAGAACAGCACTTCAACTTTTCCAGTCTCATCATTACCATTTATAAAATGGAAATAGTTATCCTACCTACTGTACAGTTACTTGGAAGCTCAATTAGGGTAGCATCTAATCTCATATTTAACTATATCAGAAAGAAACAATTTTAAACTTCATAAACATTTTGAATAAGGTTATCAAATGATAAAGAGTAACATAAAAAAATGAATATTTGATCTTAGATTGATGGTAATAGTGTTGTTACAGAAAGTGCTATTATTTATCCATAAAAATATTCCTTGAAGAAAAACAAAATATAAAAATTTGAAGGAAATGCTTATGAAGCTCAAGTAGATAAAATCATTACAGAAAGAAATATCAGAAAACAGACTTTCATGGGAAGATGATAGATTAGACACTTCTTTCCTGAGACTTTTGTGATAAGAGCCAGGGTAACAAAGAACAAACTATTCTGAAGAGAAAAAGAGGAAGAGCCTCAGAAATCACAAAGGGGTAACAGGACAGTTGAAAAGAACAGAGAAACAGAAAGGCTACAAGAGAAAAAAGAAGGATACAGCCCACAGTTTCAACCCTAGCTGCCAAGGGAGGAGGGAAAAGGAAACAGCCCACAGTTTCAACCTCAGCTGCTCAGGGAGGAGGGAAAACTGAAGTCATAACCACAGGATAAGCCAGGCAAGCCCTGGTGAAACAGACTGGAGCCCTAGCTTCAGAATAAGTCCATAGTTCTCACAAGCCTTAAATCCAGTGCAAGGATTTATTGTGACAGTAACCCATCCTGTGTGGAAGGCCAGATTGGAGAAGAAATTCATTTTGTCACTCTTTACATCTTAGAAAGCTTTAGCCAGGTACCATCTTGAGAGGAAGTTTATTGTTTGAGACTAAACTACTCTGGGGATCTGAAAACAAGGAACAATTTCAAGTAAATCTGTCCAGGATACCTTTCCACAGTGTATGAGTGGGAGACAGAGTTGAGAGGCAGTCACAGAGAGTGGGAGGCTCAGATATGTGCTTGCTGAGAAGTTTAGGTAGTAGGGATCTCAGGCTATGAAAAGCCCTCTGTGATGAGGAGCACACTCCATTGCCTATGATAAGTGCAGAGACTAAGAGCTCCCAGCCTGTAGCAGCAGAACACATGGCCTCTTATTCTGCTTCCCTGCTATCTGTGGTTTGCTGTTGGGTGGGGCAGAGAGTGCTGACCCTTACAGGCAGTGTCAGGTTTCATTAGATTCTCCCCCACATCCTAGTGCAGATTTCAGTGCTCTGTTTGCTTGCCCCACTCTTCAACGCACTCAGAAGACAGCATGGACTTGGACACTTGCTACCCTTGGGTGTACAAACTTCAGGAGAGATGATTTGGAGCAGGTAGAAACCTACTTTTTGGGGCAAGAAATAACTCTAAGTATGCAAAGAAGGGAAGCTTCTACAGTGAATGCAGTCCTGAAGCTGACAACTGAACCCTGACAGGCCAGGCCCTCAACACACATTCATCATCCACCTGAACAGTGCTGTTGCTGTTACAGTGATTTTGTTTTCTCCTCACTGAGTGTTACTGGGGTTTGAGTCCACAAAAAAAGGGTGCTCACTAAACAGATCCATGGAAAAACTGGAAAAAAAATCGATCCCAATAGATGTGCAAATTACAACTTAGAAGAGCAAGAATATGAAAAAGAAAGACAACATAATTCCTCCAAAAGTTCGGCACTCTTCAGGAACTGAATACAAAGATACAGTAAAGGTTGAAATGCAAGACAAAGTAGTCAAAAGTCTTGTTGTAAAAATGATTAATGACCTAAAAGAGGATTAGAATAAACAGATGAATGAAGTAAAGATGTTAATTTTAAGACCTGGATGAGAAAGTTAACAACTTGGATGAGAAATTCAGCAGAGACATACAGATTCTAAAGGAAAAACAAATGGAAATCTTGGAAATAAAAAGCTCAACATATTAAAAAAAAAGTCTCAAAAGTAAGTGTCACCAAGAGACTACACCAGACTAAAGAAAGAATTTCAGGCATTGAAGACAAGGTTGAAGAATTATTATATTCAGACAACCGTAAATGAAAACAAAATCAGTCATGACCCCAACATCTAAAACCTCTAGGATACAATTAATATACCAAACTTATTTATCTATGGAATAGAAGAAAGGACCAAGACACTAAAGGCAAAGAAAACTTATTCAGTAAAATTATAGCAGAAAACTTCTCAAACCTAGGGAAAGAAATGTACATTCAAGTACATGAGGTATTTAGAACCCTAAATGGACATGACCAGAAAAGAACCTTTCCATGTCATATTATAGTTAAAATGCCAAGAGTACAAAACAAGGAGAACAATGAAAATTCTAAGATGGAAATGGTAAGTTACTTACAAAAACAAATTTGTCAGCATAACAACAGACCTAACTGCAGAAACACTAAAAGCCAGAAGAACACAGAACAATGTCTTTAAGGCCTCTAATCAAAGTAACTGCCAACCAAGACTCTTATATCCAGCAAAGTTATTCTTTAACATAAGAAGAGAATTAAAGGCAATAAGCATAAACTAAAGTAATTCATGCCCACGAAAGCCACCAAACAGAAGATAGTTAAGAGAATATTATACACAGAAGAGGAAGAAGATATACACAAGCATGAGAACTCAAAAAAAAATAAATCTCAGTAGGAGAATGGATCAATAAATGAGGTGGGAAAGAATAAAACATAACTTAGTAAACCAGCAAATATCTAAGATGTAGAAGAGAGAAGTTAATATATATATTACCTCTCAATAACAACCCTAATGTAAATGGACTTAACTCTACAATTAAAACACTAAATGTAGCCAGATGCCAGTGGCTCACACCTGTAGCCGTAGCTACTTAGGAGACTGAGATTAGGGGATTCATGGTCTGAAGCCAAACAGGCAAATAGTTTGTAAGTCCCCATCTCCAAAATAATTAGAGGAAAAAAATGGATCAGAGTGTCTGCTTTGCAAATACTCATTTTGCAAGCATGAAGCTCTGAGTTCAAACCCCCATCCTACCAAAAACAAAAAACAAAAGTAAAATAAAACAACAATGCCAAACCCTAAATGTAAATGGAATTACACTCCACTCAAACTGGCTAAATGGACTTAAAAACAAGATCCAACTATTTAAAGTCTACAAGAACTCACTTCACTGGCAAAGACATACAGACTCAAAGGCAAAGGCTGGAAAAAATGTGCCAGCCAGTCTGAATTCAAGCAGAATAGCTCTACATATTCTGATAGACTTCAATATCCGAAATTTGATGGAACATGGGCTAAAGGCTCAGCTCAAATGAGAGAGTGCCTGCCTAGCAAGCACAAGGCCCTGAGTTCAAACTCCAGAACTGTCTAAAGAAAATAACGAAATTATATGGAATAAAGAAGGTCACTATGCTATTAATAAAGAGAATAATCCATGAAGAAGATAGAACAATTATAAATACATATGTACCAAATGTTGGTGCACGCAATTTCATAAAATAAACACTACTAGACATAAAAAGGACAGATGGGTCCAGATATGATAATAGTGAGTGACTTCAATACCTTATTCTCATTGATAGGTCACCCAGAATAAAAATCAACAAAGGCACTTCAGAGTTAAACTTCACCAAAGATCAAATGAACTTAACAGACATCTATAGAATATTGGTCCGACAGACAATAGACAATAGACATTCTTCCTAGTAACCCAAGAAACTTTTTTTCCAAAGTAGATCACATTTAAGCCATAAAGCAAATCTTAACAAATACAAGAAAAATAGAATGATTTCTTATATATTATTAGATCATAATGAAATAAAATTAGACATTGACAGCAAGAAAAACTATAGAAACTCTGCAAATACATGGAGATTGAACAATACAATTTTGAATGATCAGTAGGTCCCTGAGAAGTGAGGGAGGAGGTTAAAGAATTCCTAGAATCAAATGAGAATGAAAATACAATTTACGTGAATCTTTGGGATACAACAAAGTCAGTTCTGAGATGGAAGCTTATAGCTATGAGTGCCTACAATTAAAAAAATCAGAAATCTCACATAAATAACCTAGTCATTCTTCTCAAACTCATAGATCAAGAATAAGTCAAACCTCAAATTAGTATATGAAAGGAAATAATAAATATCAGGGTAGAAGTCAAAGATATGGAGATTAAAACAATAATACAAAGAATCAATGAGACAGAAATAGTTCTTTGAAAAGATAAATAAGATTGAAAACCTTTAGCTAAACTAACCAAAAGAAAGAGGGAGAATATCCAAACTAATAAAGTTAGAGATGAAAAGGGGATATTACAACAGGTATCTCTTAAATCTAGATTATCATTAGGAGATATTATAAAAACATAAATTCCAAGAATAGGAAAATCCAGAAGAAATGTATAATTCTAGATACATATTACCTAACATAATTGAAACAAGAGAATATAAACAATCTAAACAGACCTATAACAAATAAAATCATAGTACTAAATGGTTTCCCAACAAAAAAAGCCCAGGACTGGATGGATTCACTGCTGAATTCTACCAGACCTTTAATGAACCAAAGCTCCTCAAACTATTCCATAAAATAGAAAAGGAAGGAACACTATCTAACTAACTCTATGTAGTCAATATTACCTTCATACCAACACCTAATAAGGACACAAAAATAATGAAAACTATAGATCAATTTCCTTGATGAACACAGATGCAAATATTCTAAATAAAATACTTGTAAACTAAATTCAACAACACATTAAAAAGATCACACACCATGATTAAGTTGCTTTCATTCCAGTGACGCAAGGACAGTTCAATACATAGAAATCAATAAATGTACTAGAGCACATAAATAGAATTAGGGACAAATCACATGATCACCTTAATAGATGCAAAAAATCCTTGACAGAATTCAATATCCCCTTCATGATAAAAAGACCTGAAGAAATTAGGAATAAAAAGAACACACCTCAACATAATAAAGACTATATATGACAAACATAGCCACTACCACAGTAAATGGGAAAAAAAATCCTCATTCCTATAAAATCAGGAATGAGACAAAGGTGTCCACTCTCTCCAGTCTTATTCAATACAGTGCTTAAATTCTGTGCCAGAGCAACAAAGCAAGAAAAAGATATAAAATGAGTTCAAATTGGGAATGACGAAGTCAAATTATCCTTACTGGCAGATGACATGGTCTTACATTTAAAAGACCCCAAAGATTCCACCAAAAAACTCCTAGATTTGATAAACAATTTTAGGATTATAAAATTAACACAGAAAAATTAGCAATGTTTCTATATACCAACAATGAACAGGCTGAGAAAGAAATCAGGCAAACAAATCCACTTACAATATCCTCAAAAATACATAGGGATAAACCTAATTTGTATGCAAATATGAATAAAAAAAAAAACCTAATGAAGGAGGTAAAAGAACTCTATAGTGAAAACTCTAAAACCTTGAAGAAAGGAATCAAAGAAGACACTAGAAGATGTAAACCCTTCCCATATTCATGGATTGGCAGAACTAATATTATAAAAATGGCTATACTAGTGAAAATGATCTACAGATTGAACAGAATCCCCATCAAAATCTCCATGTCATTCACAGAAATAGAAAAATCAATCCATAATTTAGCATAAAAGACCCCAATAACTAAAGCAATCCCAAGCAAAAGACCAATACTGGACATATGACAATTCCAGATTTCAAATTATCCTTCAGAGTCATAGTAACAAAAACAGCATAGTACTGGCACAAAAACAGACATGTAGACCAATGGAACAGAAGACCCAGAAATAAGCCCATATAGCAATAGTCACTTGATAATCAGCAAAAGTGCCAAAAATATGCCTTGGAAAAAAGACAGCCTTTTCAACAAATGGTATAGAAACAAATGAATATTCACATGTAGAAGACTGAAACTAGATCCCTACCTATCATTCTATACAAAAATCAATTCAAAATGTATCAAAGACCTTAATGCAAGACTTGAAACTTTGAAACTACTAGAAGAAAGCATAAGAGAAATCACTGAAGATATAGGAGTAGGAAACAACTTTATGAATAGAATGATTTCAATATTCAGGAATAAGAGCAAGAATTGACAAGTGAGATTGCATCAAACTGAAAACCTATGGACAGCAAAGGAAACAATTACCAAAGTGAGGAGACAGCTTACAGAATGGAAGAAAATGTTGTCCAGCTATCCATCTGGTAGAGGATTATTATCCAGAATATAAACAGAACTCAAAAAATAAACACTAAAAGAACAAATAATGCATTCAACAAATGGGCAAATGAATTGAACATATAGTTCTCAAAAGAAGTACAAATGGCCATTAAAATACATGAAAAAAATGTTTATCATCTCATCATTTTCATCCCAAAGTGGCTATCATCAAGAAAAACAAACAACAATTGCTGGTGAGGGTTCAGGGAAAAACAACCACTATATACTATTGGTGGGGTTATAAGTAAGTGTGGCCACTATGGAAATCAATGTGGAGGGTCCTCCAGAAACTAAAAATAGAACCACCATATAATTCAGCTATACCACTCTTGGGAAAATAAATACCCAAAGGAATGTAAGTAAGCATACAATAGGGACACCTACATTTCCATGTTTATTGCAGAACCATTCACAATAGTCAAGTTATATACTGAGCCTAGGCACACTTCAACAGATGAATGACAAAGAAAATATGGTATATATGTGCAATGGAGTATTTTTCAGTCATAAAGAATGAAATTAAATCATTTTCAAGAAAAAGGATAGAACTGGAGATCATCATGTTAAGGGAATTAAGCCATAATCAGAAAGACAAATATCATGTTTTCTTTCATATGTGAACTCTTGATTTAAGAAATAGGCATGAAAGTTGAAGGGGGGACTATTTGGGAAGAGGAAGGGAGCTTTCAGTGGGAGGTGAAAGGGGGAAAGAAAATGGGGACAAAAATGATCAAAGTATATTATATACATATGGAAATTTCATAATGAAGCCCATCAAAATGTACCAAAAAGAAAATATCCATATTATTACAAATATTCAGAAATATGCAAAAAGCAGAAGGAAAGGTAAAATATGTAATTAAAAAAAAAGGTGTGGCCTGGGGGGGTCAAGTGGTAGAGTGCCTACCTACCAAGCATAAGAGACTGTCCTACTAACTAACCTAAAATATTCATCTTTTGAAAAGAAAATCTGACTAATGTGCTCATCTTTCTATATAATATAACATGAAAGGTATGACAGCAACAGTAATTACAATGACTGTACCTACTATTCACATACCAGGCATTTTACAGTCATTGTCTTGGATTCTCAAAAAACATAGGTATTATTATTCTCATTTTAACAATAAAAAAAGTGGAGGCTATGGGTCATAAAGATAGTAAGACATAGTTCTTACATGCAACTCTATTTTTAATATGCTTAAAAGTAGAGATTATAAACCTACATCAGTTTCCAACACATTATAATCTCACTATAAATGGATGCTAGAAACAAATAATGAAGTCTTGGAGCCAGACTTTTAATCAGAACTATCTGGATCAAAACAAAAACGAAACCTTCTTATTTCTCTAAGATACCAGGAATAGCCTGCTACCATCTTAATATTCTGGAGAAGGATGTTAATTTAAAGCAAAAATTTTAGTCAAACTGCCTGAGTTTGAATCCTAGCACTGCCTCTTACAAGCTATGAAATCTTTAACACATTACTCTTAATGTTTTGACTTATTCATCTATAACATGGAGTTAGCAATGTATTATGTTTAGATATTAGATTATTCAATTTTTTTGAGTATCAATCATATAATCCATGCATTTTGATAATACGTGCAAGGTCTAGGGGCATAGTGAACTCATGATTAGCCATTAGGAAAAGTAGGGTAGACTAAGTACAGAACTGATAGTGAGTGATCTTGAGCAAGTCTTTGAGCTTAACCTTCCTTATTTTTATCAAGGATCTACTACCTATTTGGATGAATAAAACAGAGATGGCCCTTGCCTTCAAAGAGAACTTATTACCTCTAAATACAACTTTCTTACAGAGTTTTCAGAAGGATTAAATGGGAAAATGAATACGAAAGTGCCAAGTAGAGAACACAGCATATATTACTAATTGGTATATGTTTGTTTTCTCCTCTCCCTTTACCTCCACCAAAAAAGCTTCTCAAGATTTCTTATCTATGTTTTAAGAAGCCTTCTGGCTGGTATTTTGTTCTGCTCTGCCTCTTGTCTATAAGTCATCTAAGTAAAATCTGATCGTGCCTTTCTCTTTCTAAATGTCTTCAGTATGTCCTTACAGATTGCTGGATAAAGTTCAGCCTCCTCAGGTAAGTATCTAACGCCCTTGGTAACCCAATTCCAGTCCACCTTCCCAGCTTTATATCCTCCCATTTTTCACAGTCATTCATTGCTTGACAAAGCAAAGGAACTACAGAGCCTCTGACTATTTGTAGTTCCTTGGGCACATCAATCTATCTTTTACTTTTATGCTTTAGGACATGTTCTTACCTCATTTGGAGAGCACCCTTCTTTCTCATACCTTTCCTTTCAATGCAAAGCATCATGTATGTATGTATGTATGTATGTACCTATGTATGTATGTGTGTATGTATATATATGTATACATACAGATATTTTATATATTGTATTATATATTTTATTTTAGTCCTTGTAACAATTCTTAGAGGTAAATATCATTGTAGTCTTCATTTGCAGATAGGCAAACTAAGAGTTAAAGAAGTTAAAAAATTTGCCTAATATTACACAGCTAGTAACTAGACAAGCTAGATCTACCTCCAAAGTCTATGCTCTACATATGCAAGCTTTTCAAGTCCCACTACTTCTTTTATGCTGAGATATTATGAGATATTTTATATAAAAAGATGATCTGTATATGTAATATCACAACTGTTGTCACTACTGCTCAAGTTAAGGGAAAATTTTCTATGTCCAATGTTATAATTTTGTGGAACTTTCATGCATGCTATTAAAGGCAGTTGTTTATTCTACTCATTCCATTTTTTGTCACAACAAAGTTGTTTTTGAACCTGAGATAATTACATGATTCCATGTAGTAATAATTGTTACAACCTGTTATACTGGGGAAGTTACTTATTCTGTAACAGTCCATAATGTAATACTGCAATATTAAAAGTTGGAAATCATATCCAAATCAGATAAAGTTTGATAAATACCAACAGCAAAAATTATGATCTATGTAAGAGAAACACTATTACACTTTAGGTAAGAGAATCTATTCCAAACTTTTCTTGGGTTAGTGAAGCACTTGAATCTAAAAACTAAGTATAAAACATTTTGAAAAGAGAACAGAATTATAAATATAAAGTAAAATCATAGCTCACCAATTTGGGCCATAATCTGACAAAGTGCAATTTGTTTTAAGTATGTGGATTTCCCACTCATATTTGGTCCAGTTATTATCAAAAAATTACTCCCTTCTGTAATATAGGTATTGTTGGCAACAGGCTTTTCCACAGATATTTTTTCAAGAATAGGATGCCATCCCTGTTTGATTGCTAAAGTATCAGTAAACTCTGGCCGAACTGAAGGAAAAAACAGTTGTAAAAGATTAGCATATTTATATCTAAATATTTTGTGGTATGTGTGTACTATGCAAAGCTTAGTGATTTTACTAGGGTCAACTTGGGACAATAATTTAAGCTTATTGTTTTATCCATGTTCCTATCTGAATGCCTCTATATTATTATGGATATACTCTAAACTCTATTCATTTCCAGAAAACTCTAGAATTTATCTCCTTGTCACTGTCCTGGTCACCAAAACAGTTTATAAAATTTTCCTATCTGTATAGATTAAAGAGAACCAAGTGGTCATCGGCAATAATTTTTAAATAACAAGTGGTTTAATATGGAATTTCAAATTTACTCAACTTGCTTAAATATTATTTTAAATTTGGCATACTTAGCTTTTAAAATGAGGTATGAACATAGTTAAAACCAAATACAATTCCGTTCCATCTGTTGGAGAAATTTTGTCTAAAAAATAAATTTTAGATGGAAAAAAATCAACCACAAAATATTTGTTAATTATATTAATTATATAGAAACAAATTACGATCAGTTCTCTATGAACACCATCTGAGGAGGAGGCAGGAGAAAGAAGGATAAATGAAAACTAAAATCCTACATATTGCTAAATGAATTTCATGATATTCATTATAAAAATTGGATTAGAAAAAAAATACAAAAGTATTCTCAAAACTTCATTTTATTTTTGGAATTTAAATATGATACCCCAACTAAAAGGCAGCAATGTAATATCTCTTGAGAGTTAAGAAACTGCTATTAAGAGTAGCTGTTCCCTGAGTGGGGGGGAGGAATTGGGGAAGGGGTGTAAGGGTAAATTTGGTGCAAATACTGTGTACACATGTATGCAAATGGAAAAAAGATTTCTATTGAAACTATTCCAGAATGGTGTATGGGGAATTAAAGGAGAATGACTGATGGGGTGAATTCAAGTATGCTATATTTGATATATTTTAAGAACTTTTGTAAATGCCCCCTGCCCAGCACAACAATAAAAAAAAAAGTAAAAATAAAAAAGAGTAGCTGTTCCCTAAAGTAAGGTTTTTGCCCCAAAGGAGATAGAAATGATTAAAAAGTTTCAATCTATAAAATACCAATGGAAAAAGTTCATATTTCTATTAAAATATGGAAATATGAAAAATCTTTGTAACATATTTCCCATAGAAATAAATTTACATAATAATTTGGAAATGTCACTGATGATTTTAATTAGAAATTTTAATGTTATTAAGTCTACAATTATTCAATCGTAATCAGTACACACTAGTCCTGTATATTTGCATGGTGGAGTATGGTTATTATTGATAAGTTGGGTAAGAAATTTCAAGGGGCTAACTTAATTGAAGTATTCATTCAACATTAAAAAATTACTCTACATTTGTATTGAAGGCCAGAACACAGACCTGGGATATAAAAATAAGTGACATAATTCCTGATCTTTGTAAGCTCATATCAAAAGAGCTAGTGGATGAATACTCTAGGATATTCATTTCTCTCAGTCTATTAGTATTCATTACACACCTTCTAATGTGTATTCAGATTTGAACTTTATAAATTTGTATCATGTCCATTTTCACGAAGGATACAGCTCTGTAGTCTTTCTTATTTGGGAAACCTTTAAAATTTCTCATAGTGTTTTCATTTTTATTTGCCAATTTCCAAGTGAATATTTCTTTAATTTCAAAAGAAGTTTTAAGGGTGATTTCACTTTCTCTATTTTGTGTCTTAGGCCATAGGTAAGAGACTACATTTCAAGTAAAAATATAAATATTCATGACTGGTATATAACATTCTTTGAATAGAATACAAATTTCAGTACAATATGTTTATTCCAAAGAAACTAACTTACCATAGTCAGAAAGAGTGCAGGCATGTGCAAATGACAGTAGCATATCCAGCATTGACACAGTGTCAGAGAGTTTATGTAAGCAATGAATATGTTCATAAATTTCACTAAGCAGTTTGCATACTATCCTGAAAGTACATATGGGTAATACACGTAAAAATACTTTCTAAAAAAGGACACACAATATAATTATAAAATAATATTAAATTCATTGCTTGAGGTAAAATAATATTCTTAGTTGAGCTGTAGAATAAACGTTCATTGCTCAATTGTCTCATTTTAGATAAAATGAGGAAATTATAGCTTCTGGTCAAGGTCACAACTAATCAGTGATAAATAATCCATCTTCTGATGTTAACAGCATGTTTTTTAAATGACTGCTTTAATTAAATATTAAGAAAATAAACAATTATTTTAAAGGATTATATTTTATAAAATATAAAAGTGGTATATAGGTCAAATCAAGTCCTTACTATACCTGGACAGATCCTATCTGCTAATAACTTTGTTTTTTGGAAATGTTAGATTTGACATAAAAGCTATTTATTTTATTTTCTCTTTCTCTTCCCACTCTGTCTCAATCTCTCTCTTAATTGGTCCTTTTTAATCCCCCCGACTTTCTTTCTCTCTCACACACATATTGAAATAATGTAATTAAAGTTTTTATGTGGCAGGGTTATACTATGATATAATGCAAACATTTTTTCCTTATAAGGATAAAAGTGTACCACAAATTTACTATATGTTATGTTTGTGATCTATGCCTTGATATCGTTTTGAAAGCTCAACCTATCTCTTATCTCAGCCTACCAATTCTAAATGTTCTAGTTTTTTCTAACTGTATTACTACTGTTTCATGAACAGCAAAAAGTTGGCAGTTATAATAGTCCTATAAAAATGCCAGGGTATGAGAGATTGAGGCCTTACGCCATAGGAAAAAGAGTAAACTGAATGGAGCCCAAGATAAGCTCATGATATGCCAAGTCCCATATCATGATGTTATACACACTAGAGAAGTATTGGTTATAATGCAATTTTTTTTGTAATTAGATTTGCTGTCAAGCTTCTGTGAGGCTCAGTAGTCCTCATCACAATGTAGGCTTTCTTTACTAATATTCATAATTCTACAATAGTCTACAACCTGACAAAAAGTTAATTAATGAAATTTATCATAGCTCCTCAAATTAAACCAATCTAATTCAATATTCAAATATGTTAAATGCTCGTACATATAAGTCATGTGATAGATTTCTCGCAGAGACTCTTGGCATCTTTCATTCATTTTAATTAAATCTGCTGATGTAAAGCTGTAAGAATTCTTCATCTTAGAAATCTGCTAGGAAGTTAAAAAAAACAAATGTTGAGATATGTGCACAAGCATATGAAATAAAACATCAATTGACCTACATTGAAATATAGGTATTTTAGGTTAATCATTTTAATTTTTGAGATACAGTATCACAAAGAAAGTCCTAAATAACATTTGTAAAAGAAAAGGAAGATCATTTCAAAGGATAAATTAGGATATTTTTACCCTAGTCTATCCAACATGATTATTTTTTGACAGGCTTTAAAATGGTCTTACAGAAATACTAAAACACTGCATCTTATTAGCAAGTAACATGCATGACAGACATGACAGACATTAGTGATCCTCATTCCATATCTGACTTGTCTCAGTCCTTTTCCTATTTTTGAACCTCAATCTCTAACACCATTACTGACTTTCAACCCCTTCTTTTACTTCATCCATCCCTTACTGCTTGGTCATTCAGTATTTGTGTGTATATGCCTTTACGTGTGTGTGTAAATAAATCTGAAAGCTAAATTGTTTGTGTCAAAAGGTACTTCTTGAAAGCAGAGAAAGCAAAGATTAGATTGGATACTTTCCCAAATGGTTACATTGTGGAGGAATAAATATGTATTTAGGGAAAAAGTATTTTCATGGCCCAAAGGGTTGGGAGTGATAGATTTTTAAAAGTTAAGCAAATTTCCTTACATGAAGACTTTTCAAATCTTTCATAAGCAAATATGTCTGGAGAGTTAACTGAAAAATTTTCTAATTTATTTGATCAAAAACAACATTTTGATTTTGTTTCTTTATTTGCCTTTTTCTTCTCACATCAAGCTCCCCAAACTTCAACAAATACTGAGTTTGGTTTTTCTGCAAAAGAACTTCTAAATCACTAGATTGGTGTAGCTGTTACGTGGGTGGATAGGAATGGAAGGAGAGGCAATTCACAAAACGTTCAGAAATTTGGCATGTAAAAACTCAAGGAGTGCTGGAAAATAAAGGTAACTCTACAAGCTCAGGAATAATAATTTCTTAACCACTCTAGAATGAACCTTAATAAATTCTGAAGGAAGTTGATCACTGGAGAGCACTGTACAATCTGTAGTCATCTGGATGAAAAATCCTCGTGCAGAGCTAAAACTTGTCCTTAAAGGAAGACTATATTTTTCTGCAAGCTGTGATATCATTCCTAGTGACCAGAAACAAAAAAAAAACCAAACAAAAATAAAACAAAATAAGTTTAATGAAGAAATTAGTCTTTCTGTAGAAATAGTCACAGGATTTTTTCTTTATATATATACAGGAAAATGTTACTACTTTTTAACTGTAAAAAATTTAATGTCAAAGAGATGTGGCCAGGTTCCCCCCCCCAAAAAAAAAAATACAAAAGTACTGATAGACATAATTTAAATGAAAAGAAATTATAAGAAACAAAAAGGGCTATTTTATATTCTATGTTAGGGATATTAGAGTTTCTGATGTTATTCATTTCCACATTTTAATGAAGAGAATAGTGATGTAAATTACTGTAATAATTAACTCACAATAAGAAAGTCCTTCTATAAAATATATTTTATCAACAAAATATTCTTAAAAAGGAATAGGTGATTCATCAAACAAAATTCATTTTAAAAAATCCAAATATCCCTAACAACTGTATACTCATTATAGAATCCTGAATTTCTATTTCTAAGATGACCTTGATTTTGAACATTGCTTGAAAGAGACTAACATTTTCGCTACTCAAAACAATTGGTCTTCATGATTTTTTTGTTATTCTCAGTGGTTCCACCATTCTTGTGCTAGAAATCTCATTTAGTACTAATGGCTATATTTCCCTATACCATGGTCATATGTATTAATAATTAATTCCTATCAAGTTTTCCTTTAATCCTTGCATTCTTCCTGTTTCACATACACTGCTATCACACTAAATAATGTTAATATTATTAACTTAAATAATTTAAACTGGCCTTCCTTTCTCACTCAACTTAATTAAATATGTTTTAAATAAATTTCACTCTACAAAGTAAAAACTTCTCAGTACCTCTCCATTCTCCTTGGAAAAAAAAAATCCAAATTCCTAGCCTTCAAAGACTAACTGCTGCTTTCTACTCTATATATCTAATCTTATCTCTTATAAACTCCATAAAGGAATGTCCTATTCCATCCTACCAGATTTCCTCACTCATTCTTTATGTCTCTGTGCTTCAGCTTATACTACTGCCTGTCCAGTGTAGGAAATTCCCATCCAGGATAGTCTATCTACTAAAAACTTTCCTATTCTCTATAGGAGGATCCTTAAGTTACTCTCTTACTCATTCCACCTTCTGTATTTCTCTTCATATAGCTTATATCCTTTATAAAATTATATGATGTTATGCATATATATATGTATGTGTATGTGTGTATAAATGTGTTTGCTTCTTTATTGTCTGCCACCTCTGCTATAATATAAGCTCCTGAGGACAGAGACTTATGTTCACTATGTATTCCCAGTGTCCAGATCAGTGTGTACATGTAGTAGGAGTTCAATAAGTACTTGTTAAAAGAATTACTGGACTGGCTCAAATGACACCTGTTCTAGATAAAATTGGTGTCTCCTCCATGGCTAAATATATTTTTAGCATTAGTATTTGACAATCTGAGTTTTTCATATAAATTATACACAACGTTTTATAAAGGTAACTCTATGAGGTTTCTTAATTGGCAATTATGTGTTAACCTTATCTGTCTTGCAGTAAAATGTAAATTAATAATGTGCATGACTAGTCTTCTATCACCAGCATATCCTCAAAAGTCTGTTTTATTCCTAAAATGCAAAAAAATAAACTCAAATAAATTACCTGCTATGTCATCTACAATCTCTGTATATGTTCTCCTAGCTATGTCAAGAAACTCATTTATGTTAGACCTCACTGCATAGCACTTCTGAGTCCTCATATTCAGGCATCCTTTCATGTATCTTGCATCATCATTAATTACTGTTTTAATCTTTTCAAGTATAATTCCAAACCTAACATTAAAGTAAACAAATTATAGGTAACAAGCCAAACAGCCACTTTCATTTATAATTTGAATCATAGTTAATGATAAACTTCTGTTGAGTCTTTTAAAAGAAATAATTAATCAAGAAATACTCCCATTTATATAAGTTAGAGATATGACTATGTCTGTTTTAAATTATTTTGTCATTCAGGACTATTCTAAAATAGTATGAGGCCCCCAAACACATTCTAAAATCTACTAATAAACAGATCTCCGAAATTATACATAATTGACTGTGTCTTTGAGTAATAATACATCCATCTCTAGAGAACTGCTATGAAAATTCTGACTTCATGCTCATTCATTCAATAAACACTTACACAGTGTAGCAAAAGTGGCATCAGGTACAAGAATTCAGGGAAAGATAACATATGTCCCCCGCCCTTGGTAAGGGAAGGGGTGATAAAATACTTACTAAGAGAGTGTCACAAGACTCTCACAACTATGAGTAATCAAATACACTGATTATGCAAGCCGGAAATCTGGTAATACCTATTTTCCCAACCTTCTCCTTTATCCTGCTCTGTATTTTATATGCAATGAAGCACAAACTTCAGTATGTGGCCTCACAAACTGAATATAAATCCTGAATCAACAAAATAGTTCTTAAGTATGAAAAACCTTTTTGGTTAAGAACCAAGGTACTATTGCTAATAATTTAACAACACTAAACTATATTAAGACTTTATTCAATTTTCATACCTACTATTTTTTGTTACATCAGGTCTTTAATGATTTAACGAAGGAGAGGAATATACTTTTATATTTGCAAGTCTTTCCATAGTGAATAGCTAAAAATGTGAAATATTAAAATTGTACAAGGATTTCAGATTTCATGCTACTCTACCTATCCATTAGCACAAATATTCATTGTGCTATTACTCTATTTATTGTACTTACAAGACAAAATATATAATTATAATTTTAATGAACAGCTTAAAGAAACCCAAGAAATTGTTATATAGAATACTATTAGTTTTTAAAGTCAGTAATGATCAGAAAGAATATCTATTTTATTAACAGTTGAATGAAAAAAACCTCTTGTCTTCCAAGGAACCATAGTAAGCTCTTAATAAAGTTGTATTACAGTTCTTCAGAGAAATCTATTAAAGAATAAACAAAGATAGGTAAGGATGACAAATTATAACACTGTTCAAACACAGCATATTATATTTAATACTTTACAACTTTCAAAAGTGTTCTTGCTTCATGTTCTCATTTTTATGTTCACAGAAACATTTTAAGTATGTAGATTAGGACAGATTATATCTTTCCCACTTTCCAGATAAAAAGCACAAGTTAATAAGTGCCATCCACTGACTCACTATATTCCTTCTACTTTTCTTGTTTCCTAACTTTAAACATCCAACTAATAACAGAGGTAGCTACTAATAACATTTTGGAGATACTCTCTATACAATTCTCAAATTTGGTTTAGAAACATATTTAACTAAAAAAGCACCTAGTATATTCATAAGTACAGCAAAAATGAGATCAGGAATTTAATTTTGCTTAATAGAAATTATGAGTGGTCACTAACTCAATAAACATAAAAAGGAGAAAACATAGTTAACTTGACTGTTATCTCCTATTTTAATTTGATGTGAGGCAATGGCTATTACCTTTCATTTGTTTCTGATACAAAAATAATATGCTCATGCTAATTAAAAATTGTAAAGATCACAGAAGCATAAAAAAATCAAATCACTCATAGTTCTAGTACCTTTCCAAAGATACATACTCTAAATATTATGGTATATTTCCTGTTCATATCTGGAACAAAAAATTTATATCACTGTTGTATGTTCCTCCCCTCCCACATACTTAATACTACAGCATGAGTATTAGAAATTTTTCACAGCAAAAAATTAATTCATAATATTTCACCCTAAGGAAAGCAAATAATCACTTCCTCTAATAAGTAGAGGTCTATTCTACTTGTAATTTCTCACAACTATAAGTAATATTTCAATGACCATCACTAAGCTCAGATCTAGGTCAACATTTCTTTTTTGTTTTGTTTTGGTGGTACTGAGATTTTGAACTCAGGACCATGTGCTTGGTATGCAGGTGCTCTCCTGCTGGAGCCACAATCATATATATCTCATATATATCACAATCATATATATATGTATCACATATACCATATATATGCATATATCTCACATATATCATATGTACATATGGATGTAGCTCATTGGTAGAACAAGCGCTTAGCACATGCAAGACCCTGGCCCTGGCTTCAATCTCCAGCAGCCTCCCCCTGCTCAATAAAAAGATATATGTTGTGAACGTTTCCTATAAAATAAGTAGAATTTGTATTCCTTATTCCTTATTAATCTCTCATTTCTTCATAATTGCAATATCATGAATGAAAATCTGAGAAACTTTTCCATTTCAGGAGTATAAAGATATCATCTGGGTGTGGTGGTGCACACATGTAATCCCAGCACTTGGGAGGTTGAGGCAGGAGGATTATGAGTTTTACACCAGCCTGGGATACACAGTGACTTCTAGGTCAGCCTACATGGAGAGTGTGATTTAATAAACAAATAAATAAGGAAAGAAAGAGAGAGAAAGAGAAAGAAAGAGGGAAGGAAGGAAAGAAAGAAAGAGAAAAAGAAAAGAAGGAAGGAAGGAAGGCAGAAGGCAGAAAAGAAGGAAGGAAAAAATGGGAAAAAAAGAGTTTAAAGGCATCAAATATACTGCATTGCTATGGATTGGACCCTGTATCAGAAAAAAATGCTATAAAGAACATTCTTTTAAGACAACAGAAAAAGATGAATATAGGATATATATTATATGATAGTACTGTATCAGTATTAAAATCATAAATTTGGTAATTTTACTATGGCTATATGAGAGAATACCCTTGTTCAGAGGAGCTATGCATTTCAATATTTAGATATAAAACTTATTCTCAAATGGATCAGTAAGAGTTTATAATAAGGATAATATGTGTGTGTGTGTGTTCCATATATGTAAAGAAAGACATTTGGAAACTCATTATAGTACTCTTGTAATGTTCTATAAATTTACATTTTTCCTAAGCACAAAGTTTTAAAGTGATCCCTAATATGTTTTGTATAGTATACACATATAAATTACCTTTAGGGGATCCACAAGCTCCAAGGTATGCTTTAGGTATATCAAATTTGTTATCTTTGATTCAGCTGCATTAACCTGTTAAGAAAAAAATCCAGCTATGGACACCGTCAATATTTAAACGTATTCCGTCTATTTCTGTGTGTCAGCCTACCTAGGAAGCCAGCCTATAGAATGATTAGAAATAGCTAACCCATGATCATAATCCTAGGGCACAAGTCCCTGAAAGCCTAACAATGAGGAGAGTTCATATCATTGTATCCAACTTTCATTTCTACTTCAGTATCTTGGATGCAGTTTAAACTATAATAGCAAAAGGAGACACAGTTCAATCCTGAGCAGCGCCAAGTGAATAACTGAAAAAAGCACATCCACAAAAGATATTTGCAGATAGACGATATTTTGAAAGGGTGAATCTGAACCTCCCAGATAGGTACAGAAAATCACAAATTTTCCTTATTGGTTCCTGTCTGTGCAAGTGAAACAATTTTCATATTTCAGTGACCCCAATTAATTATAGTCTTTTAAAATAAAGCATCTTCAGCATTCTAAATTACATAAATAAACTTTATATATATTAAATTGTGCTCTCTCCAGAGCTGATCAGTGGTACTAACTCAGGAAAAATGAGGAAAGGTCTTATGAATTCATTAATTTATCAATACTGACAGAAAAAAGTTTTAGAATATTGCTATTATGATATAATGTACTCAATAGAAGCTGTTTTTGTTTACATTCCCTGATCTACAGCCTCCACTGCAAAACAAAAAAATAAAAACAAAAACAAAAAAACCTATTCTGTATTGTTAGTATATGGACCAGTTTAAAAGAAATACCACATGGGCTGGCAGAATGGTTCAAGTGGTAGAATGCCTGTCTAGCAAGTGTGAGGCCTGGAGTTCAAACCTAGTACTGCCAAAAAATAAAAGAAATATCACAAGGAATGCCCTTAGTCCCAAAAGTGTAATCCCATAATTTTTATAATGGAACTCTGAAATTAACCATCAGGTTAAAAATAAAATTCACCAAACAGAAGTCAACTATCATCACTATCACCAAAGGAGAACAATTCCAAAATTAGTCAATACACTCTTGAAGAAGAACAGGTATAAAAGGTCTAACTCCACTATCAACTTGTAATAAGGTCATAGTAATTAAGAAACTGTGGATGTCAAACCTAATTTAGTCAGAAGAGACAAAGAAGGTACTTCATACTAATAAAAAGAGCAATACATCAAGAGGAAATAACAATTATTAACCTACATACACCCAATGCCAGTGTACCCAACTTCATTAAACATACATTAATGGACTTAAAAATACAGATATACCCCCAACACAGTGGTGGTGGGAGACTTTGATACTCCTCTATCACCAACAGATAGGTCATTCAGACAAAAAATAAACAAAGAAACTCTAGAATTGAATGACACCATAGATCCAATGGACCTGACAGATGTCTACAGAATATTCCATCCTGGAACAGCACAATATACATTCTTCTTAGCAGTCCATGGAACCTTCTCCAAAACAGACCATATTTTAGGTCACAAAGCAAATCTTAACCAATATAAGAAAACTGAAATAACCCCTTATATAATGTCTGACAACAATCCAATAAAACAAGAATTCAACAACAAAAGGAACAGCAGAAAATAAACAACTAGAGGCTGAACAACACATTGCTCATTGAAGAAATAAGGGAAGAAATAAAAAAGTTCCTGGAACTTAATAAGAATGAAAGCACAACCTATCAGAACCTATGGGACATAGCAAAGGCAGTCCTAAGGGGAAAGTTTATAGCCATGAGAACATATATTAAAAACACAGATGTCAAATAAATGACCTAATGCTGCATCTCAAACTCCTAGAAAATAAGAAGTTAAACCCAAAACTAGCAGAAGGACAGAAATAATGATAAAAATAAGGGCTGGAATCAATGAAATAGAGACTAGACACACACACACACACACACACACACACAGACCCAAATGAAATAAAAGCTGGTTCTTCAACAAATCCCTGGCAAATCTGACTAAAATGAGGAGGGGAAAAAACCCAAATTAATAAAATTAGAAATGAAAAGGATGAGATCACAAAAAACACCAAGGAATTCCAGGGACTCATTAGGGACTACTTTGAAAAACTATAATTAAATTGGGAAAACTAGAAGAAATGGACAAATTTCTGCATACATACGACCATTCAAAAACTGTTGGTGATAGAGTAGTATCAAATTGAATATGGACCTAAACAGATCCATAACAAGCAATGAAACTGAAGCAGCAGTAAAGAGTCTCCCCTAAAAAAAAAAAAGGCTAGGACCTGATGAATTCTACCAGACCTTTAAAGAAGAATTAATACCAACACTCCTTAAACTCTTCCATGAAATAGTTTCTGCTGGGTATTGAGGGGGGGGAGAGGGAGGGGGCGGAGTGGGTGGTAAGGGAGGGGGTGGGGGCAGGGGGGAGAAATGAACCAAGCCTTGTATGCACATATGAATAATAAAAGAAAAATGAAAAAAAAACTCTTCCATGAAATAGAAAGGGAAGTAACACTGCCAAACACATTCTATGAAGCTATTATTATATTCATCCCTAAACCAGATAAGGACACAACAAAAAAAGAGAATTATAGGCCAATGTCTTTAATGAACATAGATGCAAAAATCCTCAATAAAATACTGGCAAACCTAATTCAACAGTATATCAAAAGGATCACAAACCATGGTCAAGTTGGTTTCATCCCAGGGATGGCTCAGCATATGCAAATAATTAAATGTAGTTCAGTATATTAACAGAAGCAAAGACAAAAACCACATGATTATCTCAATAGATGCAGAAAAATGCCCTCAATAAAATTCAACATCCTTTCATGATAAAAGCTCTGATGAAACTAGGAATAGAAAGAATGTACCTCAACATAATAAAGGCTATATATGACAAACCTATAACCAACATCATACTAAATGGGGAAATACTGAAAACATTCCCTCTAAACTCAGGAATGAGACAAGGGTGTCCACTCTCTTCACTCTTATTCAACATAGTTTTGGAATTCATAGCCAGAGAAATGAGACAGAAAGAAGAAATAAAAGGAGTACAAATAGAAAAGGAAGACGTCAACCTATCCTTATTTGCAGATGACATAATCTTATAACTAAAAGATCTGAAAAACTCCCGGACACCATAAAGAGCTTTAGCAAGGTTAGCAGGATACAAAAACAATTTACAAAAATCAGTAGCCTTTCTATACACCAACAATGAACAGATTGAGAAGGAAGAGAGGAAAATCATACCATTTACAATAGCCTAAAAAAATACTTAGGAACAAACTTAACAAAGATGTGAACGACCTCTACAAGGAAAACTATAAACTACTAAAGAAAGAAATCAAAGACAACTACGGAAAATGGAAAGATCTCCCATGCTTGTGGATTAGTAGAATGAATATTGAAAAAAATCTATATATTACCAAAAGCGAGAATCTACATGTTCAGTGGATTCCCATCAAAATTCCAATGGCATTCATCACAGAGACTGAAAAATCAACCCTGAAGTACGTTTAGAAGCACAAAAGATGGCAAATAGCCAATGCAATACTGAGTAAAAAGAGGAACACAATCACAATATCTGACATCAAACTAAACTACAGATCCTTAGCAAAAAACAAAACAAAACAAAAAAACCCAGCATGGTACTAGCACAGAAACAGACATGAAGACCATGGAACAGAATGGAAGGCCCAGATATGAATCCATGCAGTTATGCCCATCTGATTTTTGATAAAGGTACCAAAAACATACAATGGAGAAAGGCAGCCTCTTTAACAAATGCTGCTGGGAAAACTGGACATCTGCATGCAGAAAACTGAAACTAGACCCAGGTTTGTTTCCCTGTACAAATATCAACTCAAAGTGGATTAAGGACCTTAATATAAGACTTGAAACTTTGAAGCTAGTGCAGTAAAGAGCAGGGAACATACTGGAATTAACAGGCATAGGCAATGACTTCTTCAATAGAACTCAAGTGGTTCAGCAACTAAGAGAAAGGATTGACAAATTGGACTATATGAAATTAAAATGCTTCTGCACGACAAAAGAAATGGTCTCTAAATTGAAGAGGCTGCCCAGGGAGTAGAAAGTAAGGCAGGGAAGAGAAGGATATCAATGCAGAATACATTAATGATTAGGTTACCCTTGGATATTACTATGGCTCAATCCTGCTGGAGACTTGGAAGGTGGTAAAGAGTGAGCTCAGGAAAATGGAGTATCTATTCACCAATTCCTACCCAGTATTGGTTAAGAGATGTTGCCAGGGACATCAGCTCCCTGAAACTCTCCAGCCCCTCTTCTGGCCAAAGAAAGTATTCAGCAGAGAGACTCAGATGCTTCCTACAAGAAACTTCCTTTGCACAAAAGTGAATGCTAAAAAGATGTGAGTGGCACATTAACAGCATCTGCTCTACAATACTCAAAATACTCAAAATACAAAAGCAAATGACAGAGTGAAGACATTCGTAACACATAAAATCAATAAAGGGCTCATATCTAAAATAGAAAAAGAAGCCCCACAGATCACAAAGAAAATAAATACAGTAGAAATAAGCAAGAGACTTAGATTTTCACAAAAGTCTTCAAATAGTTAATACACATATGAAAGGGTGCTCAACCTCATTAACAAGAAATTGCAAATTAAAACACCAATGAGACACTACTGTCTACCAACCACTATAGCTAGAATTTTAAGAGATAATATCAGGTTTGGGGGAAAAGCAGAGGGAATTCTTACACGGCCGAGAGGGAAATTGATACAGTCATTTTGAAAAACACGTAGGCAAACATTCTTTATTTTCTACTAAAGTTGAAGATATGAGCTGGTGCCAGTGGTTCATGCCTGTAATCCTAACTATTTGAGAGGATGAGATCAGGAAGATCACTGTTCAAGCCCAGCCCCAAATATTTCATGAGATTCCCCATCTTCAAAATAACCAGAGCAATGGCCTGGAAATGTGGTTCAAGTGATAAGAGTGCTTGCTTTGTAAGCTCAAAGCCCTGAGTTCAAACTCCAGTCCCATAA